TTTTTTTTTTTTTGAGTTGGAGTCTCACTCCATCGCCTAGGCTGGAGTGCAGTGGCACACTCATGGCCACCCCAGTGCTGACCTGCTGGGCTCCGCGATCCTTCTGCCTCAGCCTTCCAGGTGGCTGGAACTACAGGTGCGTGCTACCACGCCCAGCTAATTTCTGATTTATTATAGAGATGAGGTCTTGCCAAGTTGTCCAGGCTGGCCTTGAACCTACAGGCTCAAGCAATCCACTCACCTTGGCCTCCCAAAGTGTTGGGATTACAGGCTGAGCCATTGAGCCCGACCTAGCAGCTTAAATTTTTTGAGTCCTCTGCTCTGCAGAAAGATTTAGGATAGGATATTCCTGGCGAGGACAGGCATTTCAGAAAACCCATCACCATCCACTCTTCCAGAAAGCATGAGGCAGGGGAGGCTTCCTGGTGCAGTCTCAACCCAGGAGGTGCACCTTAGGTTTTGTGCTCTCCCTGCAGCATACTGGGCCCAGGGTGACTAGTGAGTGTTGAGGAACCAGTGTGGGCAGAGACTGGGTGTGGGGAGCAGTGCCCAGAGGGTGATCCCCACTCTCTGACTCTGGTGTTCTGACTCTGTTCAGTTCACGGCGAAGCAGCTGGAGAAACTGGCCAAGAAGGCGGAGAAGGACTCCAAGGCCGAGCAGGCCAAAGTGAAGAAGGTAAGATCTGGCCTCCCTGGCCATGGCTTCCCTGGGCCTGTGTTATGTTCTTTTCTGCCCTTATTTTTGTTTTCTGCTTGGCTTCGATGGCTTTTGGAAGGAGGCGTCTTCTACATCACCATGATTTCTGAGCCTCAAAGTATTCACTTCTGCATGAGACGCACAGACACGGGGGAGCCTCTACCTGGAGTGGCTGCTGTCTCTGCCCATGGCCTCTCAGCCCTCCCCTGCCCACTGAGGGCATCCGACCACAGGCACATGCCTTACCCTTTTGCTCTTGCCTGGGACTGGCCTTTCCTTGTATTTCTGATGTTCTGAACATGGCCTTTGCCACACATTGAGCAAGCAGTGGGCTTCTAGCCATCCTGCCACTGTCCTGTCTTCTCTGCTCTCTCCTCCCCGTGGATGTCGAGTCTGGGCTGAGACATCATGGCCCCTCCATGGGGTGGGCAGAACTGGAGTCACACTGGGGACCTCTCCAGGAAGGGGTCCCTGCCTCCTAATGGGCAGGGTGGATGGAAAGGTGGGGTCGGACTGCTGTTGGCGGAAACTTTCAGGCCAGTATCGTGCAGCTCTTAAGACTTGGCACAATGTGTGAAGTAGGTCCCAGAGTGTTGGATTTTGGGAACTCCTCACCCAAACCCAGGCTTCTCAAGGCAGAAAGGAGCCTAGACAGCTGCCTCTGTAGGCCGCGTCATTGGTGTTCTGTACCTTTTCTGCCTGCATCTGTGTCTCCCATAGACTCTGAGTGTGGCCTCTGTCCTGTGCTCCTATGCTAAGGTGGGGTTGGGGGCATCGGTGGGAGAAGCCTCTTCGCAGGCTGGTCTGGTGCTGCTGCCCTGTCCCTGCTTCTTCATATTTATAAAACTCTGCCATAGCCAGGCTCGGTGGCTCAACCTGTAATCCCACGCCTTTGGGAAGCTGAGGTGAGTGGATTGCCTGAGCCGCGGGTTCGAAACCCACCTGGGCAACTTGGCGAGACCTCATCTCTACAATAAATCAAAATGAGCCAGGTGTGGTAGCGTGCGCCTGTAGTTCCAGCTACTTGGAAGGCTGAAATGGAAGGACTGCCGGAGCCCAGCAGGTCGAGGCTGCAGTGGCCGGGAGTGGCACTCCAGTCTGGATGACAGAGTGAGACTCCAACTCAATAAATAAATAAATAAATAAAAATAAACCTCGGCCATTTCTTGTGAATACATCTGGAGAGGATTGTGAAGGGCCCTCCACCATAGCAAATAGCACCAAGAGAGGTCAGCATGGGCTCCTTGAAAGGACACACACACACCAACTTCTCCCAGCTGGCATATCCCCCCAAATTTAGGCCCTTCAGCAGAAAAATGTGGAGTGTGCCCGTGTATATGCTGAGAACGCCATCCGTAAGAAGAACGAAGGTGTGAACTGGCTCCGCATGGCATCCCGTGTAGATGCAGTGGCCTCCAAGGTGCAGACGGCCGTGACCATGAAGGGGGTGAGTGCTGAATCTGTGGGCTGGGCCCACCTCCACTGACTGGAGCAGGAACAGGGTCTGCGGGCTGGCCCTGAGGCAGTCCCCAGAGTTGAGGAAGCCGGACCCACATGGAGTCAGAAGTGTTGGTGTGGACACAGGCAGACCAGGCCCTGAGGTCACTCCAGTGCTACAGGGAGGAGCCCTCGGTGAGCCTGGGTCTTGCAGCATCTCATGAGATGCAGAACCCTTGTGGTCAAGCCAGTCCCAGCTGGGGCAGGAAGATTAGGTTAGAACCCTTGGCTCCAGTGAACATCCCCTCCAAACATGGGGTGGGCCAGGGGAGCAGTCCTGAAGATCCCAGTCAGCAGCCTTCCCAAGAGTCTGTGGCCAGCTCCCCTTGTGCCTGTCCCTTAGCTGACTATGTCCCAAGGGCCTGGGCCCCGGCTCAGCCCAGGGCTGGGGTTTTGTTGGGTGAGTGGGGAACTCTCCCCACCCCAGCAGTCTCATCAGGGCTCAGAGGACCCATTCCTGGTGGTGATCTTTGCTTGCCTTTTATCCTATTCCCTCCCCCAACCCTCACCTGTCCCAGGTAACCAAGAACATGGCACAGGTGACCAAAGCGCTAGACAAGGCCCTGAGTGCCATGGACCTGCAGAAGGTCTCAGCAGTGATGGACAGATTTGAGCAGCAGGTGCAGAACCTGGACGTGCACACCTCGGTATGTACCTGCCCAGCCTGGGCTGTGGTCTGGGAATGGGGCAGAGGAGCATGCAGGCAGTGCACTGGAAGATGACTCACAGGCTGACATGCCATCTGAGTACGTGTGTGTTTGTCCCTTGGGGTCACCAAGCGTCCTCTGCTGGGTCCTTGCCAAAACCTTGAGAGGCAGGGTAGGTGGGGCGCCAGGGGCCTCCTCCAGGTACCTGGCTCCTTGTGGAGGCCAGAAGGTAACAAGCACAGAGGTGTAGACATGGCAGGGCTGGAGTAGTGGCCGGAAAGCCTCCAGTGGAAGGTGAAGAGCGGAAGTGTCATTAAGATAAAGGATGAGGGGAGGGCTGGGGTAGGAAGTGTGGCCTGCCCTTGGAAAGTTGTGCTGGGCCCCGTGGGCCTGGCCCCTGTGCCAGCATGTGCCCCTTCCCAGGTAATGGAGGACTCCATGAGCTCGGCCACCACACTGACCACGCCACAGGAGCAGGTAGACAGCCTCATCATGCAGATCGCTGAGGAGAATGGCCTGGAGGTCCTGGACCAGCTCAGCCAGCTGCCCGAGGGTGCTTCCGCGGTGGGTGAGAGCTCTGTGCGCAGCCAGGAGGACCAGCTGTCACGGAGGTAGGTGGCCCCGGCGGCACTCTGGTGCTGTGGGAAGGAAGAGAGTGTTGTGGGTTAAAGGCTGCTGGGGGAAGCTTGAGGTGAGGCTTGGAGCAGGGGCACAGATCTTGATTCAGAACCACCCCCCACCTGCAGCTGTTCCTGGCCTCCTGCTGCTCACTCTTGTCCCCAACTCTCCTATTTGCGTAGAACCTTGAGTGTCTCAGGCCCATCCTGCTCAGGCCTGCTGGGAGGGCCCAGCATATGTGTCTGACGCATTACACACACCTGCAGCTCCCATTGGAAAGGGAACCTATGCCCTTTGATGGGATGGATCAGAGCAGGCCTGGCATGGTTGTACCCAAGGTCCTGCACTCACAATATCTCAGGACAGCCTTGGGGATCTGAAATCAAGGAGAGAAAGCACTGCTCACCACGGGTGAGGGCCCTGTGAGCAGTGTCTTGGTGGCCCTCCCCTTCTTACTGTGTGCTGCTGTTGGTTCCAGGTTGGCTGCTTTGAGGAATTAGCTGCACCCTGCGGCACAGTGCCTCCCACCCTGTGACATGCTGGAAGGCTCCTGTCCCCTCCTCTTCTGCATCTTGCCTTCCTGCTGACCCTGCGAACTGAGCTGCGCTGGCAGAATCCTCTCACCTGCCAGGCGGGGTGCCTCAGAGTCAGTCCTGTTCTCTTGTTGGGAGTGGTGGGTCTGTGTCCTGGTGTTGAGTTTGCACGAACCTATGAGGTATCTTCTGTGACTCTGGGCCAACAATGGGAGGTCGGCAGGTCCCCCTCTGCCCCCCCCAAGGAGCTGATGGAGACTGGCCAGCCAGTGCCACGTGGACTTTCACCCAACACCAGGGGCCCTTCCGACTCTGATCGCTGACATGCTGCTTACTGTCCCCCAGTGAACATCAGGACTGCCTGTTGCCAACTCCTGGAGGCCTCCCCCGACAGTGGGACAGTGGGCAGGAAGTGCCCCCGTGTGACAGACACAGCCCAAGGGGGCGCCAGTGGCCCATGTGTGCTGAAGTTGGCAGGTGCCACTCAGCACTGTATGGACAGTGACCCTCCTCTGGGGGTGGGGTCTTGGTGTCTCCTGCTTCTGGTTTAGCCCCCAGGGCCTCCTGCCCCGGCTCCTTGTTTTTAAAGCTGCCTAGTCCATAGGGACAGAACCACCATCCAGGTCCAGGTGTGCCCTTGGGTTCTCGTCTTCACTCATTTGCCACTCTGGAGGTGCCTTGGGCCACGTGGCCATGCTGTTGTCTCCTCAGCAGGGCGTCTGAGGCTCCTCCATGGCGCTGCACTCCTTGGTGGTGATGCTGCCTGTGTCACACTCTTCTATCCCTGAATAATCGGTGCCTCCCTGGGGGAGCCAGCTGCAACTCCTGGAAGGACTTGCTGGGATGGCTGAGGGGGATTTGGGCACCGCCTGCTGGGTTCTTGTTTTTTCCTAAAGTTTACTTATTGTCTTGAAGCTTCCAGGGTTTTGTTTTTTTTGCCAAAGTAGAAAAAGCAGGCGGCAGGTGGCAGATGTGGGTCCCTCCCTCCTGATGGTGAGCCGTGTGAGCCTCCGACAGCTGCAGGCTGAGTTAGAGTGTGGAGACCTTCACTTGACTTGCTGTCCGATTCATTCTTTTTAGGACTTAGGACCCCCTGGGGAGGGGATGGCATTGGTGTGTCCTGGACATGAGGGGTTGAGGCACTGTATGGCCAGGGTCCCCTTTGGCCTCCTCCAAAATCTGTCCACACGCTGGGGTGTTAAGAGAGGGTCTTTCTGTCCTTCATGGGTGACAGCCGTGAGGCGCTTCCTGCCCCCAGCGGATGCAGACTCCACATCACCGTGAGCTGGTTGCCAGCCTCAGCCTACCCCCTGGACATCTCCTGGGTGCCAGAGTGGGTTCCAGGGAGAGCAGGTACATTCGCCAGCTTCCTAAATATTGTTCTAGTAAACAGATTGGTCCCTGAACACTTCGTCAGGCTTTGCTTTGGTGCCTTGGGAGACCCTAGATGCGGTTGTCCATATCCCACCCCCGCTTTGGAGACTGAAGGAGGGGCCACCTCCTCGCTCTCCTTGGGAGAGGCAGGGGTGGTTCAAAGACTGCAGATACTCAGGCCCCACCCAGACCAATAGTTGGGCTCTGCAGTTTGAAAATTTCTTTGTTTTTTTTTTACTTTGAAATGATTTTAAACCTGCATAAAAGATGCCAGGTCCACATTTTCTGTGTCCCTCTTGCCCAGCCTTCCTTCACTGCACCTCCTAGTTAACCGTCTGAATCTATGGAGTCAGGAGATTGCCTGGACACTGCTGTGCTAACCAGCCCTCCTGCTGGACGGTTCTGTGCAGGGTCCCAGTGTTCCCAGCCTGGCAGCTCCTCAGTGTGCTCTGTCTCTGTGACCTGGACAGTTCAGAACATGCTGGCCCATTGTCATGCAGAGTGTTTTTCTCCCCTTGTACTGGCTGGACTTTGCTACATGGTGAGCCTGAGCTTGCAGTCACTGACAAGAATCCTGCAGAACTGGCATTTTCTCTGCATCGGTTGCATCAGGGTGTGATGTCCCCATGACAGCTCTCCTCCCTGGGTTCAGCTGGCATCTCCAGGCTTCACTGCAGAGTTGGCATTGTCTCCATTTTTAAAATTCGAGTGTCTTGTGGGGAGATATTTGAGGACAACAAAACATGGACTGACTTTTTCCCTGAATGTTAGTGTGTACCAGTGAACCTTCTGGTAATAGTTACTGGGGCTCTTATTTGAAATTCTGCTCTGAGGGAGCATCCCTTGCTTGGTTGTTCCCTTATTGGTATCAGTCTGGACCTGTGGGCATCTGTTGTGTGGTTATGGTGGTTGTGTCATTTATTTTGGGGCTCAAAATGTGTCCTATTTGGGGTATCCCTTCAGGTCAGCTGAGTCTTTGAACTTGCCCCCTCGGTCCCGACATACAATCACCTCCATCCCTACAAGGTGTTCCATCCACCACCCTCTCCCCAACCCTGGGTCAGCCATGTCTCCAGGAAGCTCTGATTCCTTTTCACAGGGAAGGATGTTCAAAACCCAAGGTCTGGATGCAGGAGTGCCATTTCTGCTGCCACCTGAGACCCTCAGCTCAGCCATGAAGCGTGTCATAGCTGCTACAGATGCACGACGGTGTATCCCCTGTATTCCTGAGAAAGCACAGCTGTAGATGACCACAAATGCATGGCTGTATACCCCTCTGTGTACATTAGAAACCACAGCGGCCGGGCTCAGTGGATCAGCCTGTAATCCTAGCACTTTAGGAGGCCAAGGAGAGTGGATTGCCTCAGCCCACATGTTCGAGATCCACCCGGGCAACTTAGCAAGACCTCATCTCTACAATAAAAAAAGTAGCCAGGCGTGGTAGCGCGCGCCTGTAGTTCCAGCTACTTGGAGGGCTGAGGCGGAAGGATTGCTGGAGCCCAGCAGGTCGAGGCTGCGATGGCCGGGAGTGGCCACTGCACTCCAGTCTGGGTGACAGAGTGAAACTCCAACTCAAAAAACAAGAAAAAGAAATCATAGCTGTAGCCACCACAAATACATGATGTACCCCCCTCTGTATACATGAGATAGCACAGCTGTAGCCACCACGAATGCATGGTTGTGCACCTTTCTGTATAGCTGAGAAACGACAGCTGTAGCCACCCACAAATGTATGCCTGTGTACCCTTCTGTGTACATTAGAAACCTCAGCTGTAGCCACCACAAATACACAATGTAGCCCTCCGTATACTTGAGACACCACAGCTGTAGTTGCCTAGGAATGCACAACTGTGCATCCCTCTGTGTACACGAGACAACAGCCGTGGCTGCCTACAAATGCACAGCTGTAGCCACCATAAATGTTTTGTTCACGGTTGTTTCAGAACTGCCAGCCTCAGTCCTGTACTAACCAGAGGCCGGCATTTGTAGCTCTCAAACCTCTCCCCGGTTAGGACCCCTTCCATACCTGTCCATGGTGGCTGTGCTCTGCTGCAGATTCATTTGTCTATATTCCATATGGACCCGCATCCTGGATGGACTTTATAATGATGGTTATTATTGCTGTGGAAATGTCACTGTGGCTGTAGAGTGGGAGGGGACGTGTCCTTGCCCCTCCACCACAGGCACTCCTCTCATGTCCTCAGGGTTCCCAGAGCTGCTTGGGCCCTCAGGCTCCACAAGGGCTGCTGTTGCTCTTCCCTGGGAGAGAGGGCCAGGGGCACAGTGTAGGGGCTTGCCTGCATCCTGAGATGGGCTCTGCACCATGGGGTAGGCTCCAGCCGCACTCCTGCCTCTGTGCAGCCTCTCACCAGGACTCCCAGAACTCTTGGGTACTTGTCCCCCCTGTGGGAAGGTCTGTGGGTGTTAGGGGATAGTTCCCTGTGTTTGGAGTGAGGGGGAAGTGGGAACTAGCACCGGGAGCGCTCCCGGGGCCAGGTGAGCTCCTGGGATGGCAGTTGAGTGGGTCTCCGGGGTGCTTTGGTGAGAACTTAATGGAGTTATGATTATTTTAGGACTAATTAGAACTTACAAGAAAACACTCCCAGTTAGCAGAATAAAGTGTAGCATCTCAGCCGGGCTCGGTGTCTCAGCCTGTAATCCCACGCTTTGGGAGGCCGAAGTGAGTGAATTGCCTGAGCCCATGGGTTCGAGACCCGCCTGGGCAACTTGCC